GGGGGTGGTTGTTGGCCAGAGACCACCAAATCATCAAAGCAGAAACAGGGGAGGCAGATCTATTTTTTTCTTGTGGGTTACTGTTGCAAATTAAAGCGTAGAAAAAAGTGTTGATCGCTCAGGAATGTAAGCAAGCCCGAGGCAGCAGGCGACCTTGAAATGACTTTAAACCGTTTGGGTCTTCCCACTAACATGTAAATGTGTAGACCCTGGTGTGAGCTTCAGTCAGGATAAAAGTGTTGCCAGTAAAATTACCCAAGTGAAAAGAGATAACCAGAATATTAACAAGAGGGCGAAAAATGGAGAGTGGTTCAAAAAGTGTGAGCCTTGCAGAAAACATGAAGCTGAACATTCCTCAGTTTGAAAGGGGGGGGCATCTGGAAAACTTTAAGCAAAAGGGAGGGGGGGTGAGGAGAGGAGGCTGAACAAAGCTGTCAGAGGGGTTGTATTTCTGTTAGATTTAAAGGTGTAGGGAACTAACTTGGGTGAATGACAGAGTTACAGCTTTAGACAGAAGACACTGTGTGAAAAAAAAGAAGTAAACAGAGGAAGCAGGGGAAGTCTTGACTAAAGCGCTCTGCCTTTTCCTGCCTGACGGTGAGCTCAGGAAGTTGAGGCAGACACTAAGAAGAGGGCTGACACAGACAAACACATTTTCCCTTTGCCTCGTAGTTTTTCCCTTTTTCAGTCCTGCTCCGATCCAAGAGCAGGAAGAGAAAAGGAGGCGGGTTTTCTGATGGATCAGAGCGAGACGCAGAAGTCGATCCCTCGGACGGTGGAAGTATGATGGAGGCCAACATTGTTGCCCACAATTCAGGGTGAGTTTGTCAGCAATCTTTGGAAATGTGGCTGAGTAAAGACAACACGGGGAATCTGTTCTGTTGGTCGTGATGACTGAGGAAGGGAAGACGAAGGGCTGGGGGTTGAAAGTCAAATGACCAGAACAGATGTGATGACTCACTGCCTCATATTTAGGTTAATGGCTTCTTAGAGGGTGAGAAAGATCCCAGTTCAGCACACATGATTATCCATTGTCATTTTGTTGCAGGAATGTTTCCATTTTTAGCTTCTCCTACTCTTATTAACAAATGTGGAAGTTTAACCATGTATTGCACATGAGAATTTATGCTCATAACTACTTAACATTCAAACGTTTGCTAGATATTTGCCTTCAGACAGCCAGGTTGTTAATAATGCTCTTTTTTAAATCAGTTTGAGAAACTTGTACTGCTGTGCTTTATGAAACTTGACTATAGATTGAGTCATATTGTGACCCATTTCTATAACTTGATACAATTTTCTTATGTTTTAATGAAACTTCTTTGCCGTGTTTTGGTTAAAATCTCAAAGGAATACAGTACATCAGTTCTCCTGTCCTTCTTGTCTTCACTTTTTCCCCACATAGCAGCTGGTTCTAGGAGGTAGAGTAAATCCTTGCTCTTTAGGTGGCATCTTAATTGGCTGCGGCCTGTTGAATGCATTCATGAGGGAGTCTACCAAATATCTCCAGAACATCTTGCTACTTTTGTTGGGTTTTCAACTTCCTCACATGTGACGTAAGCCTATTTAACTTAGATGCATTCAGACCTCCTTGGTGTGACTTCTGATTGGTCCAAGGCAATGAAAGGGGTCAAAGCCAACCCATCCCCGATACACCTTTGTGCTGCAAAGCGAGATAGTAACAGATTCAAAACAGTTGACGTAATTAAAAAAAAAAAGCCGGTTCCACTGCTCATTAATATGAAGAACTGATGACAGTCTGAGTAACCACGCAGTCACTACAATTAAAAACAACAAACAGGTTTATTACCATGGGAAGATTGAAGATGGCGCACAGCAACTTTGCATTTAGTTAAAAGAAATGGTTAATCACAAAGAAACACTAATTCTTAATGTTTTAAGAATAAAAGAGTCTGTCACACATTTAATGCATTGAGCACAAAGTCCACCCAGCTTAGTTCTGTCCCACGCCTTTTTCAGGTCTGAGGTGTTTTTTTTGTTTTTTTTTCTGAAAGCTCACATCTGTGCAAAATGTGGCTAGCCCCATTTGTATTTTGTGAACGACCAGAGGCAACATAAAGATGGATGTGCTGCCATGTCCTGGAATTGTTTTGTGAACAAGCGTGCACACAGCCCTGTTGTCTGAGTTGTGAACATGGTAAAAGAATTTGTGCAACAGCTCGAAATAATCACAAAGTCATTCTGTGTGTCTGGAACCCACCCGAGTTGTGTCGCTGACATCTTCAATTCGTTTTAAGAGTCCCAGAGCTGTATTTTGATTCCCACATGGGAGTTCTTCTCTGACAGAAAACTTTAGAGACAAATGTCTTAAATCTTCCTGTTTTTAATTTAAAAAATGCACTCAGGCAGAAAAGACAGTAAACATAGGGGCAGCTGTCAAGATGGGTACAAAAAATAAATAAAAATAAAAGAACAAGGTGAGCAACAAAATAATGTGCAAAGCCAAAGAATACATTTTTGCAAACCACTCACACAAAAATAAGCAATGATTTTCAAAATCTGTAAACTCAAATCACAGCTTCATGGCTCGTTGGTCACCAAACAATCAGCGTTTAGTGAGATTTCGCAGTAGAAAATTTAATATTCTTCTCACAATTTTGGAACACCAACTAGTTTCCCAACAGCTGCAGCTCTACCACCATTATGCACCAGATATTTGAGCATTAATGGAAACATAACCTTGGAGACAATATACCATCAACAAACAACTCTTGAAACAAGTTATACTCTAAAGAGCTCTTAGCAGCTTATAATGTTCATAATGAGTCATGCATTCTTGATAAAACGCAACACTACAAATAAAAATGTTGAAATCATGGAATGACCAGCTGGAGGACAAGAAGCTGAGTCAAGATCACGTTGTACTTTCTCCATATTGTCTCAGCAAATGGCAGGCATCAATTAAGCTGAGCGCTAACACTGGGAGGTTTTGCAATAAAAAGGCCTATTAGAGGTTGAATTTTCTCATCAGGATATAAAATATAGAAATGCTGAAGTAGTACACCCTTTATACTGCAGTTCATCTAGTTTTCACTGCCTGTGAAATATTTGGAGTCAATAGTAAATGCAAATAATTTTAGCTTTTGAGGCCAAGAGCCAATTAGAAGGATATGCTGACTTGAGATCAAGATAAGGATGATGGTTTCAGTGGTGACAGTTTCTTGAACATTTTTATGTCAAACCAAATATATATTTTCAAACAAAGAAGACTCCAAACAGAGAAAAGGGTTTGGGTTTTGCAAAAGTTTCTGAGCTTTTAGTGACTTAAGCCATTATACTTTCAACTACATCATTTTATGGATTAAAAAGTGATTTTCGTTTTTCATATTACTGTATTAAAAACTTGTTTTAATTATAAAAACATCAGATGACTGAATCATTTTTCTTATGCATCTCTGACACGTACCAAGGTCTTGTCAGACAGGATCTAAGTAATTTCCTACACGTCAGCTCTTTCCCCTCACAATGGTACTGTAAAATCTTGTATGATAAAAAAAAAAAACCCTGTGATATTACAAAATTGCATTTTGTTTTTAGATGTATTAGTCAAGGCCAGTCTTTCCAAACAGCTTACCAGGGCAATAACCCTTGGCAACAACATAATTATATTGTTTCATATATACCATGTTTTCCAAACACTTTCTTTTACTTATTTCCAATGAGGTACAAGTCTCCAATTAATTGCCTAAATAATAAGTTAAGCAGTGACATATTGAGATTATTTCATAATTTTAGGTAGTTGGTCTGGTTTCCAGTGCTTTGGATATTCCAATACAACTAAAATTAGCTCTGCTTTGTGCAACTACAAACCTTAAAATTAATTAGAACATAAATAGTATTTATTAAAAATACTAGGGTGACAAAAGCAGTCAGCCCAGCAGACAACGCTTTTCCTAATCCTGCCTTGGTTTCGTGGATAAATTCTTAACAGCAAAGTCAAATGTAAGAAGTGAGGGTAATAGAAAAAACATGCTAGTTAGGATGAAGCACATTTAATATTTGTTAAATTTAGCATCAAGTAAACATTACATGCTGTGAAAGGATGTTTGTTTGCTTTTAATTACATCTTTGTTTTAATACTGAAGCAGGATTGACGCCTTCAGTGGCCATTGGCACTGATACACAGGGACCTAATAATAAACCAATATTCAGATGATCACCAGTCATTCATATCAAAGACCAAACAGTAATCAGTTCTTCTGGTCAGATAAAATCCACTTCAGTAGCCTGAGTACAGATATTTAATAATAATCACTAAGAGATAAAGACTAGGACCATCAGCTCAATGAAAACCAACCAAACAGCTGAATGTATGTAATACAGTGCGACAGGCCAGGAGGTCAAAGCATTAATGGTCTCAGGAAAATAGGAATTGGATTAAGAACAAAAAATATGTGAGTGTGACACCTTTAAAATAGAAACCCACATTTTCATACTAGCTAATGCAGCACATAAACATAACAACATAACAACTACGGTATATCAGTGCATCTAAAAGTTTAAAAGTTCTTACTTTTCGTAGTTATTTCCTCTTAAACTTTTCTTCTTAGCCCTGGTCAGGAACAGTCAAACCTCAATTTGCTCCTCCTGCACAAAAACCAACGGACCAGACTGCTACAAGCTAGCTAGCTAGCTCCGATGAAACACTTGGTCACTATTTTTTAAACATATTTTTTGGAAAGTTTTTTTTTTCTTGCATTAATTCATACTGATTTAAACTGTGTTTTAATGCCTTGAAACTTTTGCATTTGTATCTTTTTAACTATATTTGTTAACATAAAATCGAATTGTAGACCTGCATTCACACTCACCAGCTAAGAAAAAAAAAAACAGAACTCATACGTCACATTTCCTCTGGCCCCGCCCATTTTTAACATTAGCCTATCAAGACAGAGAATTTTGATTGCTGTCAACTCACTATTAGCCAATCCAGATTATTTGTAAAACACTTTTTTTTATTCTGATTGGATAATTGTTCCGATTATAGATAGATAGATAGATAGATAGATAGATAGATAGATAGATAGATA